TATCAGTAGTAGTTGTAGTTGTTTTGGCAGCATAAGCAGCAGCAGCAGTAGTAGTAGTAAGAGTAGCGTCAGTATTAGTAGTAGTAGTAGTAGCAGCAGTAGTAGCAGCAGCAGCAGCAGTAGTAGTAGTAGTAAGTTTATTTTTATGGTGTTTATTGTTTTAATTTTAACAGAAGTTTAGGCAGAAAAAAAGAAATAATTCAGATACACTGTGTGACAGGTTTGTTTATTTGTATGTTGGTTTGTTTGTATGTCTATGTATGAATGTATGTATGTTTGCTTGTATTTGTATGTATGAATGTATGTTTGTTTGTTTGTATGTTTGTTTGTTTGTATATTTGTAAAGGAAAAAGTATTGAGCGGTTGGAGAACATTGAAGAAAGATATGAAGGTATGAATATACGAATGACCAAAATACGAATGAATGGATGAATGAATGAATGAATGTATGAATGAATGAATGAATGAATGCATGAATGAATGTATGAATGTATGAATGAGTAAATAGATGAATGAATGAGTGAATGAATGAGTAAATAAATGAATAAAGGCCGGAAAATAACATCCGACCATTTCAGTGAAATTTTTATGGCCTGTTGTCCAGTTGTTTCTATGTATTTGTTTGCACGCATGTGTGTATGCGTTTGTATCCATGCATGTATATATGAATGCCTGCTTGTATGTTTTTATTTTTGTTTGTATGTATGTGTGTTTTTATGTATGTATGTTTGTATAATGTATGTATAAATTTTTTCTTTGCAGAAAATTTGCTGAGTTGAAAAGTTAGTTTATTGTTTTAAAGATTTTTTTTTCATAAAAACAAACAAACAAACAAACATACGTGCACACGTAGGTACATACATACATACAAACATAAACAACACACAATCAAACATAAAAAAACATACAAACAAAAGTAAAAACATAAAAAAGTATACAAACACAGGAAACACACATGAGGGCTCAATTATATTGCTGCAATGAATGTTACACTTTAATTAATGCTAAAAGGCTTGTAATAAGAGTGAACGACTTCAGTTGAATTAGAGAGAAAAAGAGAGAGAGAGAGAAGAGAAAGAGAGAAAGAGAGAGAGAGAGAGAAGAGAAAGAGAGAGAGAGAGAGAAGAGAAAGAGAGAGAGAGAGAAGAGAGAGAGAGAGAAGAGAGAGAGAGAGAGAGAGAGAGAAAGAAATGAAGAAGAATAAAGAATAAGATAAACTATAAACATAGATAAGAAACAATTAAAGACGTATGTAAAACGGATGAATAAAACTTTGCTTCACATCAAACAATGCTATGCCTTCATTCATTTATTGATACATTTGTTTATTCAATCGTTCGTTTGTTTGTCCATTCATTAATTAATTTATTTATTTACTTATTTATTTATTCATTCATTCGTTCGTTCGTTCGTTTGTTCGTTCGTTCGTTTGTTCGTTCGTTCGTTCGTCCGTTCATTCATTCATTCACCTATCGTGAATGAATATTTTTCCAATGTAACAATAGAAAAGAGCAGAATTCAATTACCTCCAAGATTAGCTACAACATCATCATCGTCATCATCACCTCACCGCCCACCAACATTGTCATCATCATTATCATCATCATCATCATCACCATCATCATCATCATCAATAACAGCTGCAGCTTCATCATCGTCGTCATCGTCACCGTTACCAAAGTCATTATCGTTGTCTGCAACTAAAAAGAGATTATTCAATCGAACAACATTAACAACAACCACAACAATTGCAACAACAACATCATCATCAACAACAACAACATCATCATCAATAACAACATCATCATCATCAGCAATAACAGTATCATCATCATCATCAACAACAACAACTACAACTACTGCTATCACGAAAGCAGCAGCAACAACAAAATCATCGTCTCTGTCATCGTCGTCGTCATCATCGTCGTCTAAAGCAACAAAAACATCGTTATCATCATCAACAACATCATCATCACCATCATGTGTTTCATCATCATCATCATCATCATCATCATCATCATCATCACTACTCACAACAACAGCATCATCATCATCAGCAGTAGCAACAACAACATCATCAACAACAACAATCGACAATAGCAAACACAACAATCTGTCAGATATAATTATTGCAGTTATGAAGAACATTATTCTTAAATGCACCTCCAAGCGATACATATATAGGCCTTACAAGGGTTCACTTTATTATTATTATTATTATTATACATTTCTACTACTATTACTACTACTACTACTGCTGCTGCTGCTGCTGCTGCTACGACTACTACTGCTACTTCTACTCCATTGGCAAGTTAGCTCAGTTGGTAGAAGTGCCGTACTTCTCGTTGTTATTACGTGACTTGCCGGTTCGAAAGCACTTTACCCAAAACTCGAGGGCTATCAAAAGACATGCGCTAATAACAAAAAATAATAATTTATTATAATTGATTAGTTAATTATGATAATTAGTGTGTTGATAATTATAATAAAGGTGATTTGAAGGCCGGGGAGATGACGATGAGTGACAGTGAGAGGATGACATTGATGTTGCAAGTTAAGAAGGGAAGGATAACAGTGGAGGAAGCTGTGATGATGGTGGTGATGATGGCGGTGATGATGATGATGACGATGATGGTGGTGATGATGATGATGACGATGATGGTGGTGATGATGACGACGACGACGATGATGGTGATGATGATGGTGGTGATGATGATGATAATAGTTGTAATAATGATAATAACGATGATTATAATAATAATAATAATATAATATTAACAATAATGATTATTATTTTTTTCATAAACGATAAATCCAAAAATAAAAGGCGAACAGATACAAGAAACTAGAAAACAACAACAAAAACAACAACAACAACAACAACAACATCAGCAGCAACATCAATAGCATCAACAGCTCCAATGATAAACGTTATAGAGAGCAAATGTTTGCCTCTCCAATGACGTCAAGGAAATGGTTTTTTATCAACAACAACATCAACAACATCAACAACAACAACATCAACAACAACAACAGCATGAACAACAACAACAACAACATCAACAACTACAGCAACATCAACAACAACAACGTCAACCACAATAATAATTTCATTGTGTTGTGTAACTATCGAAATTCTAGCATTAAAAACATCAGTAGCTACAATGAAAATGGCTTAAATCTGCCTATAATTCAAAATAATCTCTATACTACAAACACAAATATTGCCGCTACAACTGCTACTACCACTACCACAACTACCACTATAACTACAAATAATAATAATAATAATAATAATAACAATAATAATAATATTAATAATAACAGCAACAACATTTTTGGCACTAGCAATAACAAAACTAACCATCTAAATACAGGCAGCTATTCGCAATTTTACTATAAACAACAACATCAACAACATCATCAACAACAACATCAACAACAACATCAACAACAACAACATCAGCAACAAAAACAACAACAAACGCCAATATCGCCGCCACCTTTACCACCGATTTCTCGAATGATCGTTGAATCATTTTCTGAAGGAAAAATTAGCAGTAACAACAACAACAACAAAAACAACCACCACAACAACAAAAACAACAACCACAACAACAACATCAACAACAACAATAGCAACAATGACCATTCGGAAAAATTCAATTTCGACGATTTTGATGAAAATTTTGATTTGAAAGAATTGAAGAGTCTGCAATTTTTACAAAAATATTCATCCAGCGTCAACAAACAACAACATCAACAACAACAACAACAACAACAATATTTACGCTACACTAATAACATTAACACCATCCCAACAACAACAACAAATTACAGTAACGGCAGAAACAATTATTGCTGTTTAACGGACCACCACAGCTACCCTTTTCATGATTACGATAATAAATATAGAAATAATAATAATTATAATTTTTGTAATAATTTTAATAATATTAATGTTGATAGTAATAGTTGTGGTAGTAGTAATGATTGCAGTTATGTTACTAGCTGTAGTATTAGTTGTGTTAAAGGTAGTGGCTGCAATTGCTGCTGTGCTGTCGGTGAAAATGTTTGCAGCCTGAGAACAGTTGATGAATTATTCGGCAGGATTGGTCTGGAGGTGATGTTGGTTGTTGTTGTAGATGTTGTTGTTGTAGATGTTGTTGTTGTAGATGTTGTTGTTGTAGATGTTGTAGATGTTGTTGTAGTAGTAGTAGTAGTAGTAGTAGTAGTATTAGTAGTAATAGTTGTTGTTGTTTGTAGGTATTGTTGTAGGTGTTGTTGTTGATGTAGATGTTGTTGTTGATGTTTTATTCATCTATTTGATTGTTCATTTTTTTATTCATTCATTCATTTATCCATTTATTCATTCGTTCGTTCGTTTGTTCGTTCATTTGTTTGTTCGTTCATTCAATCATTCGTTCATTCATTCATTTGAACAGCATTTGGTGAAAAATCAAAT